GAGTGCAGTGGCCGCTCCCGGCCACCGCAGCCTCGACCTGCTGGGTTCCGACGATCCTTCAGCCTCAGCCTCAGCCTTCCAAGTAGCCGGAATTACAGGCGCGCGCTACCACGCCCGGCTGATTTTTTGATTTATTGTAGCGATGAGGTCAGGCGGGTCTCGAACCCGCGGGCTCAGGCAATCCACTCACCTCAGCCTCCCAAAGGCGCGGGATTACAGGCTGAGCCACCGAGCCTGGCTGCAGTGGCTTTCTTAATGAAATTCCCAACTTCTCTCCAAGATGCCTTTTGGCATTTGACAATATTTCATGCCTTTCCTCCTTTCGATTTGCATCCTTATTTCCTCTCCCTTCTCCCACGACCTCTGCACACTTCTTTCGCAATCTGAATTCTCAGACCGTGGAACTTTCTCCTTCTGTCCCTTTCCTCTCAATCCTTTGACTAGAAGAGGCACCTTTCAGAATATCCTCAGACCCCAACTGCCTCTTGCCCAAGTCTGGCAGCATCTCAAGACGTCTACAAGAGGGATACCTAATTTCTGAATCGTCTGTAGAAAGCATTGTCTAAGAAAATAATTTCAACCTTGTTAATGCAACCAGCCCCTCCCACATTGAAATTTTCTATTTAGGGGGAATCTCATTTGCTGATGTGTGAGTGTGAACATTTTAAAAAATGAAACTAAGCAATTACCTGGCATTTTCTTCCTTCTCAACCCTCTCCTTTTTTTTCCCTTCTCATTTCTTATTTAAGAAAAAAAAATAGTGTTGTCTATGCTTCACTTTTGTCTGCTGTAGTTCCTCCTTCTCATTGAGAAAAGAGGATTTTAAAATTAACCAAAAACAATTGGGAGAAACAGGGTCAGTAGTATCGGGGTGGAATTGTGATTATTGACTCTAGCAGACAATGATGCTGGAGATAGGGTATTTGTATTTCTCTCTGGCTCCTCACTTGGGACAGATGAAAAGTTGGCCAGAGTCAGGTAGTTGGAGAGAGGTTGACAAATGGTCTTTCACTCTTGTCTGACAGAGCTGTTCCTGTGGAGTGATGGAGAATAATGACCCTCAGGAGAGCTATGGCAGCTTTCATACTCCTTTCTGGGCCAATTTTTTTCAGGGGGTGAGAGAAACAGCCTGTCCAATATTTATCGTGGGTCAGGATATCTTTGAAGCTACAGTTGACTTGCATGGGAAAATTATTATTATGCTTTATTATTTCTTGGCCCTCCTCACCATAAGGACACCTCAAGCTCTTACTTCAATGAGTCTTCTGTGATAAACACATTGTATTAACTATAAGAGTTGAGTTTACTTTAGGAGATAATTAGCATATGTTAACATATGCTTTCAATAAAGTCAAATTTAACCTGGCAGTTATTATGAAGGACAAAATGACACATTAAAATCCACATAGAAGCCCCAACTCTTAAATAATCTGAAAGCACTACTTCTAAGAAGGGTGAGCGTGGGAGAAGGGAATGGTGTATATTTTTCAGAATTTCAAACAGCAAGCTTTAACAAATCTTTTCTGCATTTTGTTTACCTTCTTAGGGGCTTGTGCTAAAGCAAAGAAAGTAGTCAGAAGGCTGGTTTCAGGAGAAAGATGGTCTAAAAGAACTGGATAATTATAAGCAAAATTGATCTGGAATGATTGCAGACTGATGGGAATGCACTTTTCTCCTGATTTGGCAGGCTGAGTTTAGACTCAGGAATGATGAACTTTGATTCCAAATGCTTTGATTTCCTATTGGGTAATCATAAACAGGCTAGAAACATAGAATTTATTATCTCTGAACTGACAAATCTGACTGGTGAGATGCATTCTCTCTATCTGAAAAATATTGATTTTGATTGAAAAAGGTAATTTTACAAAACAATTTTCTATGAAAAACTATTAATTATTTGGTGATTATATAATTGCTGGAGAACAGAAATGTGGAATTTCTAAAATAATAAACTACATGACTTATGTCTTCAAACATGTTTAACTTTTGATTTTAAAAAGTTATTATAAAATTTAAACTTTCAGGAAAGTGGAGAGACAATATAAATGACAGCCAAAGAGGTACCTATAGCCTAGATTGTAAACATTTTGCTATATTTGTGTCTTTTTTGTCTAAGTGTTTTAATGTATATTAAAGAAAATGACATTTTGCCCCTAAATTCTTCAGTATAAATCTCTAAAAGATTAAAATCATTTTTCTATATAATACATTATTGCTTCAAACGAAATTTAAAAATGGTTTCTTTATATTATTAATAACCCAGTCCACAGTCTTATTTCCTCAGTTAGTATTCTGAAATGTCTTTTATGGCTGGTTTGTTCAAACCAGTTTCTTCTCATCAAGAAACATATATTGTTTGACTATCTCAAGACTCTTTTAATCTAGAAAGTAGCTCTTTCTTTCTTTCTTTCTTTCTTTCTTTTTCTTTCTTCCCTCTCCCTCTCCTATGACTTATTGAAGAGCATGTCCATTATCCTGTAGAGTGTTCCCCCTCCTGGAGTTTTCCTCTTGCTATTTATGGTATCATTTAACTTTTTACTCTACGCTCTGGTTTTCTTGTTCTAAAATTAGTTCTAAAGGGTTTTTAAAAGTTTATTCTAATAAAATACTATAAACCAGGTGACTTAAAAACAACATGAATTTATTACTCATAGTTCTAGAGGCTGGGAAGTCCAAGATTAAGGCATTGACAGTTTTGGTGTCTAGTGAGGGCCAACCACCTGGTTCATAGATTGACCCTTCTTGCTGTATCCTCACATACTAGAAGGGACTAGTTAGCTCTCTGAGGTCTAGTTTAAAAGACACTAATTCCAATCATGAGGGCTTTATCCTCATGTCCTAATCACTCCCTAAAGGCCTTAACTCCTAATTTCATCAACTTGGGAATTAGGATTTCAACATATGAATTTTGGGAGGCCATAAGCATTCAACTCATTGTAAGGCTTAATTAGATTCAGGTTCAACTTTTTTTTTCATGAATATGTCATAAATGATGGTATATGTTCATATCCCATCATTAGTAATGCTGAGATGATTACAGGGTTATGGTGGTCACTGCCTATATCCTTCATTATTTCCCCCTTGGGTCATGCTGGTAGCCTGTGGGGCAAACCTTGTACCATGTATATATTCAGTTCTATATCAACCTTTACCAAATTGTTTTAGAATCTATTAATGATCATTTTCTTGAGTCAACCCTTTCATTAGGGATTTCAAAATGGAGATTTTCTAATTCTCTAATTCTATCTACATGTTTTAGCTGGAGTTTTTCTATAAACTAGGCATTTTCCTCACAACTGGGCTATTAGGTTATCTTGTAACATTGTTCCTTCTGGAAAGGCATAATATAGGTTTATTTCTGTGTTTTTAAAATTACCAATATTTGGAATAAGGATTTGGTGAATTAGCCACCTCCACTGGAGACAGATGGATTTTTTGGGGTTTCATTTTGACTTTTTTGAATATCGCTATGGATGCTCGG